GTTGACTTAGAGAATCAAATCAAGAGTACAGTATTAGAAGAAAAAGAGAAGAAAGAGGATGAGAGAAAAAGAGAGAGAGATGGGGAAAGAGAGAGAGAAAATGAAAGAATGCTTTCATCCTTCCACCACATTCTATTTATACTAACAAGTTTTAAAAATTACACATAAGCCCCAACATTATATAAGTAATAACAAATAAGCCCCTGAAAACACTCCCCCTCAAGTTGGTGCAAAGATATCTATCATGCCCAGCTTGACTAATATATTTTGCAAGCAAGTCTTGCTCACACCCTTAGTCAAAACATCAGCAACCTGATCATTGCCGTATGGAGTACAAATCAACCCAAGACCAAGCTTTCCCTTGATGAAGTGTCGATCGACTTCAATGTGCTTTGTCGTGTCATGTTGAACTAGATTGCGGGTAATGCTAATAGCAGCCTTGTTGTCACAGTACAACTTCATTGATTCGCGAACAAGATAACCCAACTCACCCAACATCGTTCATAGCCATAACAACTCACAAACTCCATGTGACATGGATCTGAACTTAGCCTCTGCACTAGATCTAGCTACTACAAATTATTTCTTACTTCGCTATGAAACAAGATTACCTCCAACAAATGTGCAATATCCTGAAGTAGATCATCGATCTATCACAAACCCTGCCCAATCAGCATCGATATAGGCTTCAAAATGCAAGTGGCCATGACGACCAAATAATATCCCCTTACTAAGTGAACCCTTGAGATAGCGAAGAACATGATGAGCTGCCTCAAGGTGAGGTGTACATGGAGCATGCATAAACTAACTAATCACATTATCTGGGCGCATGAGAGATAGGTAAATAAGTCTCCCAACAAATCGCTCAAATCTTCCCACATCATCTAATGGGTCTCCATCTACATCATTAAGCTTATGGTTCTGATCAATGAGAATATCAATAGGTATAGCTCCAAGCCTTCCTGTTTCAGCCAACAAATCTTAACACATACTTCCGTTGAGAAATGAACGCCCCTTTCTTCGATCTGCACACCTCGATGCCAAGAAAGTATCTCAATGATAACCTCGAACTCTGTCCCCAAGAATGACTTCATTCAATGAATCTCTTCTAGATCATCGCCAGTGACAACAATATCAACATATACAATAATGGCAGTGGTGCAGCCCTGGTGCTTCTCGATGAAGAGAGTATGATTAGCCTGACTCTGTGTGTACCCTACTCTTTTCACAGCAGTGTTGAACCTCTCAAACCAAGCACTAGCTTGCACACTAAATTCTGACCATTGGCAAGCTTAAACCCTGGTGGCATAGACACACACACCTCTTCCTCCAAGTCATCATGAAGGAAAATATTCTTTACATCTAGCTGATGTAAAGGCCAATTCTGCCAAAGAAATGAGGACACGTATAGAGTTCATCTTGGCAAATGGAGCAAATGTTTCCAAATAATCAATCCCCATAGATCTAAGTGAAGCCCCTTGCAACTAACCGAGCTTTATATCTCTCAATTGTTCCATCTGCATGATACTTTGTTGTGTAGACCCATTTGTAGCCTACTGGTTTCTTACCCCTAGGTAATGGAACAATATCCCAAGTACCATTCTTCTCAAGGGCCTTCATCTCTTCAGGTATGGCTTCCTTCCATAGAGTTTGACTGAGAGTATCTGAAACACTAAAAGGAACATATACAGAGGAGATACACGAAGTGAAAGCACGATGTGTTGGAAATAAGGCATCATATGATACAAACTGAGATATGGGATGTTTTGTACAACTACGACCACCCTTACGATAGGCAATAGGGACATCAAGATCAACAGGAATGTTATTGGGAAAAAAATCAGGAGTATTAATGTCAACTGAGGAATTACCTGGATCGAAGGAGACTTCTTGGTCCTAGGGTGAGCCAATGACTTGTTTTGCCCTCCTTGTGTAGACAATTGGATGTTTTCCCTGCTGCAAATCATTAGTGTTAGGAGGACTAGACATAGGCACCTCAGTAAAAAGCTCCCCCTGAATGGGAACGTGCAAAGGAAAGGGGCATTCCCTCTGAATGGATGAATTTTCTACCTGAATAGTAGTCTCGCCATGTAGAGAATCCCGAGCGGTGAAAAAAAGGAACAGACTCAAAGAATGTAACATCCATGGAGACAAAGCGACAACAAGTGGTAGGGTTATAACACCGATACCATTTCTGAGTGGCAGAGTATCCAAGAAAGACACATCGGATTGCCTTAGGATCCATTTTGTCCTTACGATGATGAATGTGAACAAAACAAACACAACCAAACACTTTCAGTGAGACACTAAACAAGGCAATGCGATGGAGTAAGACAGAGAAGAGGGATCGATAGCCGAGAACCTTAGAAGGCATGCAATTGATAAGGTATGTAATTGTTAAGGTTGCATCAACCCAATAACTTTTAGGCACTCCCATCCCAATCAGAAGAGAACGGGTCACCTCCGTAATATGACGGTGTTTTCTTTCAGCTACACCGTTCTGTTATGGTGTATCGACACAAGAGGTTTGATGGACAATCCCATGATCAGCATTAAATGAGGCAAGACCACCATGTATAAACTCTCCTCCATTATCAGACCGAACGATTTTGAGGGGACAACCAAACTGAGAAGGTTTTAAAAATGGAATGAACTTCATCTTTGGTTTTCATAAGATAAAGCCAAGTATATCGACTAAAGTCATCAACAAACACAACAAAGTAACGAAAATCAATGACATGCATACGAGCACATTGAGCCCACTCCATATAATTCGTCTCATCCAACCTAACAGTCGTAATACAAAGGCCTGAATGGTGGTCACTATTACCGCCCAATACTGGAGTCTGACTAGGAGAAGACCCAGCTTCTTTTGAAGTCACCTCTAAGCCAGACATTATATCAAACAATTTCTGAATATACAATCCTCCGAAACAAAAATAGCAACAAAATACGTAGAGAACCACCTCTCTAACACACAAACAGTTACAACTAGAAAGATTACCGGCTTCTGATATACATAACAAAGTGACCACACAGTCACCAAACAAACCCTAGAAAGCAACAAAATAAACCATACCAGAATTGCGAACGCAAAGAAAAAGTCATCGTTGCAGAACAACACGAACACAGGAAAATCGTCGATCAAGACTTCAATCGATCAAAAATCAAGTTGGATCTACAGTACGTGTGGATGTGATTAACACTCCTTCCTTGCAAACAAATCCCATCTTAGCCCTTCACACCCACTAGGGTTTACACAAACTTGCCATAGGGTTTCAACTACACACATAGAGCTTTACAAACCATGCTCTGATACAATGTTGACTTTAAGAGATAATCAAATCAAGAGTAAAGTATAAGAAGAAGAAGAAAACGAGAAGAAAGAGGATGAAAAAAAAAAAAAAGAGAGAGAGATGGGGAAAGAGAGAGAGAATGAAAGAATGCTTTCATCCTTCCACCACATTCTATTTATACTAACAATTTTCAGAAATTACACATAAGCCCCAACATTATATAAGTAATAACAAATAAGCCCCTGACAACAACTTTGACTAACGTACATATATTAACATGATAAAGAACATGTATAATGAAACTTTGACTATAGTTAAAACAATTATGGGAGAAACAAATGAATTTTCAATTACTATAGGGTTACACGAAAACGAAAGACCATCATAATAACCCATATCATTTTGCATACTTGAAATCATTCAACTCACTAAACACACTCACAATGGGATATCTTGGTGTATTCTATATGTTGGTAATATTGTTTCAATTGGTGAATCATGAAACAACAGGACCAGTAATTGCTTGGGGGGGGGGGGGGGGGGGGGGGGGGGGGAGGGTGTTGTGTGCAGAATCTACAATCAAAAAAGTGTCAAGTAGAAATCTACAATCAAAAAAGTGTCAAGTAGAACTAAAATATATGAAACTGACTTTAGCAAGACTACAATTATAAGTGGAAATACAGAAAAGATCAAGGATCAAGGGATATCAAAAGAACTAAAATATATGAAAGTAACTTTAGCAAAACTAGAATTATAAGTGGAAATACACTAAAAATCGAGGTTCAAAAAACAAACATTTTTTGTTTCCTAGACTCAACTATTCACAAAATGGGATAAAATAGATGTGATGTGAATCAGAGAATCATAGAATTAAAACAAGAAGGATTAAATGGAGGAGTGTTTTTGACATACAATGTGAATGACATATACCGCTAAAATTGAAAGGTGAAATCTATAAACAAATCTTACGTCAACCAAACTTAATGAGACATTATGTTAGACGGCTAAGACTAATATACTTATAAAATGTGAATTTCTGATATGCCCATATTGAGATAGATGTGTGAAGAAACAAGAAAGGATCGATTTTTTTATTTTTTTATTTTTTTTGGATAAGTATAGAAAGGATCAATTAAAAATGAAAGCATACATGAGAGAGTTTAAGTAGCCATTGGAGATCCATAAGCAGCAAAGACTAAAAATTACACTAATGAAGTTGAACCGTGTGATATACATTGAAGGTAATACTAGGAGAAAGGAAGACCAAAACTAAAATATGATAGCATGTGGTATGACTAAGGTTATGGCCCTTGATACAGCGGAGTTGTGACACATTATTCATTTATCAAAACCTAAATAGTTGGAAAAGAACTTTGGTGAGTTGAGATGAATTATCATGCATAATTGGAACATTAGGCATATACAAGAACAAAGAGGATACATCAGGATTTTCGGAACACGGGCAAGGGTAGTGGTGTACGGCAAAAAGCTAGAATAATACCCAATAAAGAACAAAGGGCAAGCATTAAACGCTTGATGATCTGATCACAATTAACATCAACCTTATCATCTATATAAAATACATATAAAATGGCACAATGTAATGAGGAAGGTTAGAATAACATATAAAGGCCACAAACAAAATTAAAAATTAATAGCAAATATATTGCCAAGAAAAAGAGACAAAGTCATAATTTAACTTACGGCTGCAGGTGATGCATAAGTTCGATGATCTTCAAAAATAACCTTGAGTGAAGAAATGTTGATGACAGGCAACTGAAGCTTCAATACCTCAAATGTCTTCCCAGTTTTCTATATTATCCATATAAAAATAAGAGTAAAGAGTCAAAACCAATACGCCTACATCAACCAATTTAATAATCTATGCTATAAACATATATATATATATAAATCGTAATTATGATTTTGATGGATGGCCATTTAATCCAATAAAAAGCTACAACGTGCTGAGAATAAAACAGAGAAGACAATATTTCATCAATGGTAAATGCAGCTATTTGAGCCATCTGTCCAAATGATGTATATCGAGTATGAGGTGTTGTCACTCAGGGTAGAGGACAAATTACCCAGATATCCTTTCCTGGACTACTTAACATAGAAGAAATGTAATGGTAAAACCATTCATTAGAAGAGTTGATCATATACTTAGGTTGCACAAATAGTCCTAGGGCAGATCCACATGTGGTCTAGCCAACATGCCTCCCTCCCACTTGCACCCCCAACAACAATACTCCCTCTCTGATTATAAATAAATAAAAACATAATAAATAGGTAACCCATGGAAAGTAAGTTGAAAAAACACAAAAATAAATAAATAAAAAGAAGTTCTAATTTGTAGCCTCCTCAACCTGCAAGGGAAATGTCAATGAAGTCCAACGTCCATGTCATAAAAACTTTAGACCAGGCAACATAGGCAGGTTTGAACAACAATTCATCACTGAAATAAACCAAGCTTTTTTGCTTTCTCCAATAATTCCTAGTACAGAAAAGAATTGTGTAACAAGTGGGCACCTGAACAATTTGAAGAAAATCCCTGAGGAATAACTCCTGCGTCATCTTGGATTGATGACCACAGGCAAGGACCTCCAACATATGTTTAATTGACACATCAAACATCCCAAGAAAAGCATACCACCTGCAACAAAGATAAAATTTACAAAGAACTTTGAACATTATAGAGGCTACAATCACAGATGAATTCATCATGCAAACTACAAAGCAAGTTTTTTGCAACTTACTTCCCAATATGGAAATGAACGTGATCTTTGATATGGCTCCACGTAGTTCCTTTAAATACAGAAAGAGCACATCTATATGTGCGAATTGCATGATTTATCTGATGATGGACCGGGCAGTTTTCAGAAAGTTACAGCAAGTATGCAGAAGAAAAAAGGGAAAAAAATGTATTTGATGACATCCATACTTGATCGCATTTCTTGTACAGATCGCCAGAAAGAACAAGATGAAAACCATACTTGCGTAGCATGGGTGGTTTGGAAAATAAGTAACAAGAAGATGCTTGCTCAAGCATTACAGCTGAATGTAGAGGTTCCTAAAAGAAGTAAAACTTTTCAGGAGCAGAATATGAATGTTCTTGTTCAGTATTTTTATAAAAATAATAAATAATAAATAATAAAAATTGGTATTACCTCACCAGAGATGCGGAAGTAAACACTGGCAGCCTCTTTATACAGATCTCTTGTCTTCAACATTTCTACCCACCAAAGCCCACACCGCGTAGCATTGCGTTGACCAGACGGCCCAATTTTCTGCATGAATATATTACAGATTCAACACGGTGTCAGTCAATAATACCCAGAGAGAAGGAGGAGAGGGAGGGGGGTGGGGGTGGGGGTGGTTCAATTGTGAAAAAAAATTTAGAGGTGGTAATCATACTAATACCACCTGCAGGAGTCTATTTGTAAAACTAAAATGCATTTAAAACACCAAAATTTTAATGGCCCAACAATGAATCCATCTAAGTTGACATTAAATCAGTTACCAGTTTCTTTTTCTTTTATTTTTTTCAGTTTTTTATTGATCCCTTTACAACCCCCTTCTTTTTAGATGCCATTTTAGCACTTTAAGAACTCATTCCTCCTCCTCACAACAGCCTTTCACAAGCCAACCTCATAGGGCAATCACTGTGTGGATTCCAAACTTGGATATTCTCCTTAGTATGGCTGTGCCCAAAGAGCCTTTGGTAGGGATAGGAAGAGAGGGAGGGCAAATCTTGGAGGCCTCTTCTTGATGGGCTCAAGTTTGCGGCATTATCGGAAGGTGATAGAGACTAGCTTGAAATGCCGTTTGTGGAGGAAGAGGTGTTGGCGGCTTTGAGGAGTTGTGATGGGGATAAAGCTCCTGGCCAGATGGGTTTACTTTAGCTTTTCTTTCAACAGAATTGAGAGGTGGTGAAGGCTGAGGTGATGGGGGCAATCAATTCTTTTTTCTGCATGGCTCTTTTGAGAAGAGTCTCAATGCTTCCTTCATTACTCTTGTCCCCAAAAAGAGTGGAGCATGTGAGGCGAAGGACTTTAGACCCATTAGTCTTGTTGGGACGGTGTATAAGATTATTGCGAAAGTCTTAGCCATTCGGTTGAGGAGAGTTCTCAATGGGGTGATCTCAGACTCCCAAAATGCTTTTGTTGGGGGGCGTCAAATTCTGGATTCAGTTTTCATTGCTAGCGAATGCATTGACGCATGGGCGAGAAGTGGTATTCTGGGGATTATGTGCAAACTGGATATCGAAAAGGCCTATGATCATGTTTGTTGGCATTTTTTGTTGTATTTGATGGAGAGAATGGGTTTTGGGCAGAAGTGGAAGGCGTGGATTCTTTTCTGTATTTCATCTGCTAGGTTCTCGGTTTAGTGAATGGATCCCCAGCTGGTTTCTTTGCCAGTTCTTGTGGCTTGAGGCAAGGGGGCCGTCTTTCCCCTTTCTTGTTTATCATTGTCATGGAGGCTTTTAGCCGGCTGATGGAGAGGGCGGAGCAGCTTGGGTTCATTCAGGGATTCTCAGTAGGCAGAGTTCTGCATCAGTTAGTCATCTCCCACCTGCTCTTTGCGGATGACACTATTGCCTTTTGTGATTCTAGCCTCCTTCAGTTGAGGTATTTACGGTGTGTATTGGCCTGCTTTCAAGTTGTTTCCGGGTTGAAGATTAACATTGGGAAAGTGAGATTGTCCCAGTCGGTGAGGTGGAGGATGTTCAAGTCTTGGCTGATACTCTAGGGTGTGGTGTTGGCTCTCTCCCGATCTCCTACTTAGGGCTCCCTTTGGGAGTCTCGTCAAGGAAAGTTGTTGTGTGGGATCCGATTGTTGAGAGGTTCGAGAGGAGGCTTGCATGTTAGAAGAAGCAATATTTGTCCAAAGGGGGATTACTCTTATGAAATACACGCTCTCAAATCTCTCGACCTATTTTATGTTGCTCTTTCCGATGCCTAAGTCAGTTATTCGAAGACTTGACGTGATTCAGAGGAAGTTTTTGTGGGGCGGGTAAGGAGATGAGTTCAAGTACCACTTGGTTAATTGGGAAAGAGTGTGTTCCCCTATTAATAAGTGGGGGTATTCGAAGGTTGGATGTGTTTAATAAGGCGTTGCTGGGCAAGTGATTGTGGAGGTTTGGAAGAAAGAGGGCCAAGCTTTGGAGGCGCGTTATCGCTTGTCATTATGGGGAGGGAGATGGAGGGTGGCACTCAAACGAGGCTAGAATGCCCCAGCAGGAATGGGCTCCTGGAAGCTTATTTGTAGAGGGTGGGATGAATACTCTAAACGTATTCGGTTCAAGGCAAGAAGCGGAAGGTTTGTTAGGTTTTGGGAAGACAGATGGTGTGGGGATTTGGCTTTAGCATTCAAATTCATGTGTCTTTACCGGAATGTTGTGTTTAAAGATGCTATGGTTGCTGACTATTTTCGTTTCGATAATGGGAGGGAGACTTCGGATGTGCAGTTCCGTCGACAGTTCCATGCTTGGGAACTTTTGGAAGTGTCAGACTTCTTAGCCTTCATCTATAGCCAGGTGGTGGTCGGGGTGGGCATGGCTGAGATGCTGTGGGTGGGTACCTTAAGAGGGGTTTTCGAGGTTAAGTCATTCTACAATTGTATGCTGGAGCGTCTGGGCCCCATTTTTCCTTGGAAGGCCATTTAGAGGTCGAAAGCTCCACTGAAGGTTGCTTTCTTCTCTTGGACCGCTGCTTTGGGAAGCATCCTAACTTTTGATAATCTTAGAAAAAGAAGTCATGTTGTGGTCAACAGGTGATGTTTGTGCAAGACAACTGGTGAATCTATCAGCCATCTTCTTATTCATTGCTCGGTGGCTAAGGATGTTTGGTCTATGTTTTTGGGTGTTTTTGGTCTTCCATGGGTGTTCTCAGAATCCATGGTAGACTTGTTAGAGACTTGGAAAGGGTGTACAGTGGAGAGCCGAGTCAGAGATGCTTGGAGGGCCACTCCCCTTTGTATTTGGTGGGGCTGGTGGCGTAAGAGAAATAGGATATTTTTTTAGGAGAGGAGTCTCCCATTTGGGCTATTAAATACAATATTCTTACTTCGTTATTCTTTTAGGTAAATGGATGGGACTGTAATTCAATGGATTCTCTTTTGGATTTTGCGGATAGCTTAAAGCTATAGTGTCGTCATGGGCGGTTGTTGTCTTCATTGGGAGCGCTCCCCTTTTGAGCGCCTTTTATTAAATCTTACTTATCAAAAAAAAAAAATTATTTATTTCACCTTTATGTTAAGTAGTTTATGAGTAATACATATATATGTTTTTCCTTCTCTGGGGAAGTTTGCAAAAAGTATCTCAGACAAGATATATATTAGTTACAGAAGAAGATAAGTAGATTTCCTCAAAATAGAGCAAAGGAAAGAAGAAAGACAATACATGTTCAAGTTTGACAATACCACAGAATTTAAAGCATAGATACTCTTGCTATAGCAAAAAAATCGTAACATTATTACAAACAATGTCTGCACAAAACAGTCATTCCTAAAAAAATTATTAATAATAATTTGGATATTCTAAAATTATTTTTGTGTCCCTAAATACCATATTGTTTTTCTAATTTTATTTCTAAAATAAAACTACATATGCTTTGGTATTTCTCATACAACTCCTTAATCCTTTTATGGATATATTCTTCAAATATAGAAGGGCTAGCCAGCCTAGCCCAGTGCACAAGGCTCCACCTTTGCGGGGTCTGAGAAGGTTAGAGGTACGAAACCTTACCTCTGCATGCCAAAAGGCTATTTCCCTTTTCGAACCTATGACCTTCATGTCATAATGGAGCAACCGTTTGTGCCAACAACAGATGCAAATTGACTCCCTTAGCCACAACAGATGGGAATCTTCAAGTTTCAACTAGAAATGAAGCTCAAAGCAACATTTCAACTACGTTATTTTGAACATGATAGATTCAAAGAGAATCCTAAGCAATACAAGGAGGGGGAAGGAGGATTAGCTACTTTTTTATTGCACAGCATACCATTTTATTATAGTCAACACTTTTACAATCACTATTCATATTACGATGTAAACTGAATATTGAAATATATTTTTTATTCTTTACTTGTTTTCCCTGTAAAGTCCATCCTTCCAATATGGAGTGTTTGATAAATGGATTGGGAGAAGACCCAACTTAAGGTATCATTTCAATTTTCACATTCTATATAATAATGTATTCAAGAAAGACCGAAAGGTCTTGCCCAATCAAAGTTTTTCATGAAAATCTTTTATAAAATAAAAGAAGTTATTGAGTAACAATTACTCTTTTAAACCAGTAAGTATCGAGAAAAACATAATTTCTTCATGATTCCTTTTTTTCCCCTCTTTCATTAGTACTATTAATAAATACCCAATACTCAACTAAACAAAGCCTTTTTTCCAAATATTTGACTTGAGCAATTTTTTGACAGTATCAAACTATCGATGAAAGAAATAATCAGGAAGAATTTGTGTTTTTCTGAGTACTTTCAGGTTCGAATTTAGTAATTTTCACTGATACCATCAAAAATTAAACTTTCCAATTTTCTTGTGTCACTAAAATTGTGCATTACGTTCTTGTTGTATATAACTTGTCAGCAATGAAGCTCTACAGAAATTTATGATCAGTCAATAAATTCTAGGGCAGACTGCCAAGCGCTTTTGAATATACCTCTAAAAGGTCAACAACAGATTACAAAGGAGACCAATAGCAACAAGCAAGGTGTCACAAAAGAATAGGGGGTCAATATATGCTTTTTATAAACTTGAGGAAGTCTATAAAATGGTCTATACAAATAAAATATGGTCGGTTCTAGAGTTTTTTTTTCACCAAAAAAAAGTCATAAATCAGTACTTTGCCATGATAAGAGAAATGTATGACAGAACTTTGAATTTGTGATCATATAAGAAGAATTGCAAAGAAACAAGTGAGTTATAATGACTATGGGCTTACATATGAATTAGAATTAGGCGTCAATATTTTGATTTAGTTCATATCTTATGAATGAATTGACTGGACACATTTTACTCGGCGTACCATGGCATGTTATGCTACTCAGTAATGACATTTTAACTGAAAAACTGAATGGTGAAAACTAACTCTCAGAAGTCCTGGGAGAAGTTATAAGAAAATTTAAGTAGGACCAACTTGAGTACATAGAGAAAAGTAAATAAATAGAGAAAAGTAAAGATTAAAAAGAATGGGGTATCAAAAATGTTTCCGTTACATCAGTCATTCCTAAGAAGAGATTGAAGATGATGTTACTCACATTAAACCAAGACAGAAAAAAGTTATACTATAAATATGACTATATAAAAGAAAGAAAAAAGCTACTAATCATGTTCATCAAATAACCATGGCCAAAATACAAATGTTGGCATGGATATCAACACCACAACAAAGGAAAAAATTAGCAATGACTACATTCCTAAAAGGTTAGAAGTAGCATCCATTGAGAGTCGTGAAAAGTTGAAAAACAATGATTATCTTGCCAAAAAAGGAAATAATGATACTAGCAAGGAAGAGTAATATCGTTCACATTAACGCCAGTAACAAAAATAGAAACCTCGAAATTAAAGTTTATTGAGAAAAGATGTGGTAACGTCATCATGTATGACTGAAATAATGGCACTAAAACGAGGGAAATGGTGAAATGGGATCCATGCAACCAGCCCCACGTAGCTGGACTTTGAGTTCAGATGAAGTGTAGTGTCATCCTCTTCTAGATGGTACTTCTATTTGCCTTAGTTGTCAGTTTCCAAGACGGAGGTTATGTCCAATTCTAGGGTGTTAATTTGATCTTATTAAAAAATATCCAACAATGCCAAGTTATAGTACCATGCCATGACTATTCTGCCGAAAGCATTGTGCTGTCTTCATGGATCATCGTTTTTCATAAGAGTCCAGAATGTTGGCCACTTGAGTAACTTGGGATCTAACTACATGAAAGATGTATTTGCTTATGCTGGCTCTTATCTGCCTAGTCTTGTTCGTATTCATTTCGCTTCTTATGTAAGCCAGCCTTCTTAAGACCAACTTGGCATCTTCTGGTGTCCTTTTTCTGGTCTTTGGTCTTTCATATATATATATATATATATTAGCCAACTTAATGTTACTTTTTTTAGCTAACAGTACATGCAGATACCTTTTTGCTGACCCAAAGGTTTCAACCTAAGGGCAATCCATTAATTTAGATGATTACAAATCATTAATAGTGTTTAGGCACTAATATTTACATTCAGTGTTGTGCTAGATTTGTCATGTTCTCAAAGATTGACCTCAATGAAGCAAGAAGATCAAAGTCACATTCCAAACATTCAAATACACATGATCACATCAATGGTGAAGCAATGCACACGGAAATGACTCTGAGTTGTTCAAGTCAAAGCTTGAAGCATTCAAGGTTGACCAAGACCTCAAGAATCATGTTTTCAACTCAAAGGTTAAGAAAGAAGCCTCAATGCTCAAAGTTCAATCGCATTTTTTAACGCATTTGAAGCTCATCTCAGGATTATGCATATACACTTAAAAGTTCATTTTTGATCCTCGGGCAACTTAAAAATAGGTCATGTACTTCATTGATTATCATATAATGACCGAATGGAACTCCAAGGCCAAAGACACCCTCAAAAGTGTCTAAAAACAATTTCAGATATCTACCAGCCAACTGATAGGATTGCTCGAGGCTGCTGAGTTTTCTAGAGTTTAGAATTGAGAGACTAGCTTTATCGACCGACTGATACATAGCATCAGCCGACTGGTACTTAAACCAGCCAACTGGTTTAGGCTGGAATTTGAATCCAACGGCTATTTCAACATTAAATGAACTCTCAACCACCCACAACAGCCATTTTCTGCCCAGATTTCTCGATATAAAGGCTGTGCATTTATGTATGACATACATATCTTTGAGAGAAAGATCATAAGCATTTAAGAGCTATCACTTGAGCATTCATTACTATCTTCATTTCTCTCATTCATTCTACATAGACTTGAGCTTCAATTTGATTCATTAACACTCTAGTCTTGTGAGCTTGTGATTTGTATATCCATCTTTTGAAAGATACATTTGTATACATACTCTTTCTATAAACTTCTTCAAAGGGTTGGTTTGACCCAAAAGGTTGGTGTGACCCAAGGAAGCCTAAGATAAGGTTTTTCTCTTAGCAAGAGGAAAGAAAGAAAGTTTGCTTCATTGTAAAGGTTTGCTCTCCACCCGAAAGGAGAAGCCATAGTTGATTTGGGAAAGTCTCTTGAGTCGAGGAGTAGGAATTCCGAACCTCACTAAATCGGCGTGTCATAGTTTGCAATATGGGAAGGGTAATCTAGGAAGAATATAGGTTATACTAGAATCTGGTTGTTGTTATGTTATTGTATAAACAAGGAGATTAATAAATGTCTCCAAGTGCAGAAGTAAGAATAAGAACCATATTTGGTAACAGGAAAAAAATAATAATAATAACTAAAGATACAGTAACCTGAATCGGAATTGCAGAAAAAAATTCTACAAGAAAGAACTATACTTTTCTTTTCTTATTTTTGATAAGTTAAAAGAAAGAACTATACATACTGAATATGTGCTAAATGCATTATCCATGCAATATTCTGCATCCTTCCTTGATTGATCCATCATGAAATAAGTCAGTCCCATCATTTCCTGAAAGAAAACACAGAAATATAAAAATGTTGCTTGGGGAATATATATTCACACAACCATAGGTCTAGATGTAATCGTTAATAGTTGCTGGATATACACACACACATATATATAAATAAACCGAAGCAAAAAAACAAGAAGCGGGTAAGCAAACCAAAAAACGGCAACAATTGAAGAGGCCACAGCAACCTATTTCTAATATATATAGGTCCAAGTGTAGTACAATTGATTTAAATACGCATGTAATGCAATTGGTAATAGAAGCATGTGATCATGAGACATGGGACCATTAGAAGATTCCAAAAACACTTTTATGCATATTTGAAGAGATGTAGGGAATCAAACCAAATCAGAACATGGAAACTTAGAAACCCTAATTCATTTATGCATGAACCATAATTTGGTGAATACATCAAAGCATTAGATTACCTTTTTACCCGTGGACGAAGAATATGCATATTTAACAACTAACTAACTTTGAAATTTCTAACCAAAAGTAGAAATTTGAACTTTGTACGAAATTTGCCAACCTAAGTCCTGTTGACATAAAAAGTTCTTCATTTTCTGTTTCTTTTTAAAACATGCACAATAATTCTTAATAATGTAACTAATTTATTATGAAAAGCTGAGTAAGACTAAACAAATTGGCTCTTAATTCTCCCTTTTCTGTTCTAAACATGCACAAGATTTCCTAACAATATACCTAATTTATTATCAACATTTGAATAATTAAACTGAAAAAAATTTAGATGCTCATCCACTACCCTAAGCATCAGTGATAGAAGTTTTTTTTTCGGTAATTAAGAAGTAACATAAATAAAAATGTAATTACAAAGATAACGAGGGGCATACCCCCCGGCCCACAAAAAAAGGGCAGAGAAAAAGAAAACCAAAGAGAAGTCCACAAAGTGGCCAAAAAGGATAGGATTGCAAATCCATACAAGTCAAGATCCGGCCCAGAAGGTAACAAACTGCACACAGGCACTAATTAACCTTACCATAACCATGGCCGGGATAGATCAACAAATCAGAAGTATCATAGTACTGGGTTGCATGGTGATGGCTACGGAGGTGGATGCGGTGGTGGTGGTGCAGGGTGAGTGTGGTGGCTGTTTGGACTGGTGAAGAAGGGATTCATATGGGTCAGCTCAAAGAAGGATGATGGGATGCTCCATTCGTTTGCAATTTCTTCAGCAAAGGGGCAATCACACATTTTGACAGAGAACAGCTTCAGTCGGATTGCATTTACCACTGCATTCAACGTTTGTAGAGGAGATAAGAATTTGTTACTGAACATTCTGTTATTCCTCTCTAGTCTCCACACATGGTATACACAGCTAGCCAAGGTTAGATTCCACGTCATGACCCTGCTTCTTTTCAATTTTTGCTTCTAGTTAGAAGATGCCCAAATTAGGAAATCCTTCCGCGAATTAGGGTTGGTGTAGAAACCACATTTATGTTGGAGACCATTCCAGATAATTTTGGAGTATTCACAATGGTGAAACAAATGCTCATGTCCCATTTCCCATTTTTTGTGTCACCATCTAGGTAAGTAGTAGGTAATACCACTCACTCTCTAAATAACAATCTCCCTTGCTCCTTTCTATAAGCTAACTACAATTGGCTACTGTTATTTTTGCTTTAAAACAACTAAATCAGAATCACAATAGAATGCAAATGTAGCATTCTGCAAAAAAAAAGTTCACTATAACAAGGAAAAGTCCTTTGAATTACTGATTAATATAGCACCTTAAGTCATCCTTCTATCTGAGAACTCGATAGCATCTCTGCATTACCACTGACTGCTAACTCAGGTGGTGTCCCCAAAACTGTATTGTGGGAAAGAGCAAGGTTCAGGTCCCAGTAGAGGAATATGGGATTGGAGGCTTCCGGAAAAGGGTTGGCTCGAAATAAATTGAGGCCTAAAGCAAGAATTGAAAAGAACTTTTTTGATATCTAAATTACCTAATATAATAATGTAACTATATTAAGTCTATATTGTAGAATATTTACTAATTAACCAATAAAAATGAGTTTAGAAAAAAGGGAAAAAATATAATAATAGATGAAATTTTAGAAGAATATGTATGGAAAAAGATAGCAGTGTTATTAAAGACGCAGTGACAGAAGAAGTAGACGAGAAGAGAGAGAAAGTATTAAATAAAAAACAAAACACCCACACCCCCCCCCCCCCCCCCAAAAAAAAAAAAAAGATAGGAGAACTAGACGAAGAGAGAGATGTAAGCAAAGATAAGAAGAGAGGATCAGAGGGGAGAGAAGTAGAGGAGAAGAGAGAGAAGAAGAAGAAAGAACTGACGTGGCTTCGTCGTTCATCTCTACAACTAGGGCTTCGTCGTTCGTCTCACTCTTTCTCTGTTCAGTCGACACTTTGACTCTTGGGCTTTCTTATTTGTTTATTCTTTTGAACAAAAGTTTCTTCTCTCATACGCTTGGGCTTCTTATTTGTTTATTAAGTTGCCAAAAGTACCCTTTTTGGCTTAAGAAATAGAATAATCATAGTTTTTAAAATAAAATAAAAAAACTGTGAGGTGCACCTAACAAACAGGACGAGGCGCACGCCTAGTAAACAGCAGTGAACCTGGGATGACAACAGGCGCTAGACCTGCGCCTCAAGCCTATGCGCGCCTTTAACAGCACTGTTACATAGTTCAGTTCAATCTAAGATATGGAGAGATTGCGAAGAATCAAATTATCACTACATTCATTCCATTTTCTACTTCGTCTTCCAACTGTAGGATAACCCCAAGTTTTTTTTTGTGTGTTTTGGGGGGGGGGGGGGGGGGGGGGCGGCGGACAAGGAGAACTGGTGGTTGATATCAATTCCTATGAACGAGGTAGATATGAATACTATATGGTAGCAGCAGGAAATTTTTTGGCGTTGATACAGAGTATTCAGGAGGAACAGTTGTTCTAGCTCAACATCGTCAAGAATTACTAATGGACCTCATCTATGTGAGGCCGTAGGCAACGATCTTCCTCGCAGTGTATGAGCTGGCAATGGGCAAGGGGAGTGCTACCACATAAAATTTATTAAGAAAAATTAAAATAGGTGCATTTTACCACATAAAATTTACCAATTTCTAAAAGCTTGCAGCCCCATAAAAGCTAACTGCACTTTGCAAGCAATCTTTTTGTTTGAGATAACAACGTACCTAATTAAAAATCTAAAAAATTACAGGGTAAACCCCAGGTACGCAGTCTGTATGCAACTGATGGAGCCATACAAACACCAGGATTTTATTTTTATTTTTTTGACAACTCATACAAACACCAGGATATTATAAAACCTAAGGCCACCAAAGACCCCTAAAGAACACACACAAGCACTTTCGGACTACTCCAAGAGGATAACACAAAATTAAAAAAAAAAAAATACAACAGACACGAAAGAGTAAATACAAAGATTTGAAGTTACCTGTACACCAGCGTAGCGTTTCCACGCTTTGTCAAGCTTGTAATCAGTGGAAAGTAGCCGATAATTTGACAATGCAAGTTCATAATCTTGTAACATGAAGGCGTAGTCACCCAAAACTCTAATTTGAGATTCAATGGAGCTAAAAGTGTACCTTCAGTAGTTATTATACATAGTAAATTATTAGAACACAGAGAAAAGAAAAAAAATTGTATAAAACATATGCATAAAAAATAGTCGCATTACATACATAGGACCACTGGGGTTATCTGGTATGTCTTCTTTTCCTTTTCTCCACCACAAATTTTTTATTTGGTTTCTAAAACCTTTCCTTGTTGCAGAAACCTAAAAACAAGAGGTTTATTTCAAGAGGAGAGAGGACAAAGACAATAACAGACTAAAAAAATTAATTGGGATGTAAAAGCATTTTCCATAAGTAAAATAATTATTTTTAATAGAATACCTGATGATTAAGACCACGAACTTTTTGCTCCATGTGAGGAATGATGTATTTAGATGACAGATCATGCATGATATTTTTCATCTGTTCCAATTCATAAAGAATTGTTATCTTGGTTATAATTCAAAATATAAGAATCCAATGCTTAATGAATGCTCTCAGTATACAAAGATAAAGGTCAATTGAATCACCTCATCCTGATCATCGATGTTAAGGAAGCAACCATGATGCTGAGCAGGAGCAGCATTAGGATCCTGTCAGAACACAAGTATAAAGTGTTTCACCAAACATAATCCAATGATATAAATCCTCATTTTGAATATGAGAGCGAAAGCAAAAATTATATATATATATATATATATATATATATATATATATATATATATAATTCTTAATTATTAGCTTACATGAGGAGCCCATGGATTTTCTTGGTGTTCGACTAACCCATCCAGAGACGAGTTAATACACAGTAATCGACAATCACTTGAGCCAAATGTACTCTTCATTTCTGCTAGAAGTTTGGTTGTGCTGCAAAAGAAGCATAACAATCAGTAACTATAGCAGTTGTAATATATTTGAAACCCTATCCATGGCAAGATGCAGGATGTGCAATGGATTGAGGAATTGTTATTTACTAGGTTTTATCTGAGAAAAAACAAACAGAAACCCAGCTTCATATATTTTTTTGAAAAAGATGATTATTCTAAAAACGAGTCTGCAACCCATATCCACAATCTGTACCCACTTACATCTCTTAGATCAAAGATGAGCACTCAACCTTAAACTATTCAGTGTACTTCCTCTGATGTTTCCAAAGCAGGAGATTCAGAATAATATAAGATTTGTAATATTATGCAAAAAGGAAAATTTAACAATGAATTATATAAAAATAAGAAAACGTCCATTAACTAGTACAGTCCTGTCAATCCAGGGAGTTGGGATAAAGACCCAACCTCGGCCATTATTCCCACAAACTGCCTGTCCTCTAACCCAAACCTACTTTAAACACTTGACACCTGAGCTTTTACCTTTTCATCAAACAATGACCCAATGGTGGATAGTACATCAATGTTTTAAAAATCATAAAAACTACAGAAGTGAAAAGTGAAGAGAGAGAGAGATGGTCAACAAGAAAAGAATATTTACGGCTTATTATTTCACTACACCACCTAAACAAGTAATGTAGGTCAATGTACACAAATTGTTCTACAAAGCTTTTCCAAGTCTCACCTTGAGAATCACATCATGGCAAGACTGCCTGAAAACAACTTGCAACTTAAAATTTTGAAAATAGTTAAATTTTAAGGCAGCGAGAGTCTAGTAGGCTTACATCGCAAGCCAAGACATAATTAAAGGTGCACCTTTTGTTCCTATGCCTTGTGAGGATATTTTTTCCCCTCCAAGGGTCAAAGTAACCAACAATGTTTTTTTCTGCCATCAGCAGTATTCAATAATACTTACTTTATTTCTCTACATCTGTTTTATATTTGCTCATTTGTATAACGCCATACCTATATGTGCATTTGTCAATCATCATAAATAATATTCGATGAGATACTAACATATTCACTTTGTATAGTTATTTTAGCATGGTCTTAATTCTTTTATATATATATATATATATATATATATATATATATATATATTTTATTATATTTGTTATCTATTCATTTTTAACTCCTGCAATCAGTATCATGTTATCAAAATAAATAAATATACAAAAAGGCTCATACATTCCCCTCAGGATTTATGCCTAGCTTAATGCTTTTGCCTCCAAAACTGCACATATAGATGAAGCCCCGTAAAAAGTTTTATCAGTAAACAACTAAAACCAATTGAAATAATAAAATAAAAAATTATAAAATGAAAATTTTAATACTTTTAGAGGTGGGATACAGAAGGTGAAACATTATGGATAGTTGAATACAAATGGAAGAATTAATGCTTTGATATCCCTATGTGGGGGAGGGGGAAAATACGGTCAAACCAAGACAAAAGAAAAACAGCATTAGAATTTTTTCCTAAATTTCGGGAAATGATTAAAATAAGATGAAATCAAAGTTCAATGACCTAAAGGAAATAAATATGAAAAGGAAATTGTAAATAAAGAAAAAAACTACCAAACTTTTTGCTATTGAAACTAAGAATTTCCTTAACCAAAGGGGGAAAAATATAAAATATCATTCAATATTTTTATATTTTGTCAACTGCTCAACCATGCCAACAATAACACTCCCAACCAGGGGAAAATCTATGAACATAGAGAGCTCCTTCAACACAGCCATCACTCAACCACTCATAGTCTCATACATCACTCACCTAGGAAGCATACTATTAAGTTACCCTAACATACCAAGGAAGTCCAACCTACTACCTCACTACTACCAGATCTTTGAATCCCCCAGACCTAAAATCCAGGGAGAAAAGGCAAGAAACAGAAAACTCCCACACTACTATCTCCTTGTTAACTATCCCCTTGTCCCATACTATGTCATGTAGACTTGAGTAAGCGTGTCAAGTGTGCGTACGTGTCTAAGTATAGAATTTATCAAATCCCCAAACCTAATAAAAACCATGGGAGGACAGCAACATATTCAAATTGGTAATTCTTTTTCCTATTTTCTAAAGTAAAATGTGGTTTTATATACATTCCCCAAACCTAAAAACATGGGAGGACAGCTACATATTCAAATTTACAATAAAAAAACTGCTCTTTTCTAAATTTAAATGGTGTTTTTATATATACTGATCAAAAAAAAATGGTGGTCTTATATACCTTAAATGTTCAACATGGGCACTTCGATCATTTGAAGCAATAATATAATAAACAGAATATAACAAGAAAGCTTTATCTACTTGATCACATAAAGAGGGAGAACTTTATGTACGATTATATGGTATCTTAATTATTAGATATGCTTCATAGTTAGATCAAGTCTCACACACTCATAACTAGGTGTTGTGTGTCAATACGTGTGCCTCGCATTTAGAGGAGTCAACAACTGGTCCCATTACTAGGAAATGCTTAATATACCCACAACACGCAAGAAGACTGGATCAAAAATTAGCATAACTATGGTTTTGTAAACAACTTTTTAGTTATATTGTAGTATTGCCTGCCAAAAAGATAGTCATAAAACTAAGTCAGTGATCTTCCATTGACGGGTCGTTTGCCATTAAACGTCATTATCTGATCCAGTGGCCTTTCACACCAAAAATACTATATATTACAGAATACTTAGCATATCCAACAAATTTTTAACATTCCGTCATAGCCTTTATGACAATAAAAATATCAAAACACCACTGCCTTCCACCACTCAAATTGTACTATTTTTAAAGCAAAAGTGTCAGCATTGCCTTCCTCTTCATCCAATAAAAGAAAAATAAGCAGCAGACGGCATTATATTATGTCCCAATCAACTCACTACCCTTTTCAAGAAAATGGTTAAAATGACATTATCATAAACAACTGTTGGTCATTTAAATGTTAAACTAAGGGCTGTCGGACTTATCTTATTGATTGTGAGCATTTCAGATATCCTGTCTTATTCTTTTAACATTCTATTTAAAGTCCAAATACTTTATAAAAATTTATATGCTAACAATATCCCTCATAAATGTCAAGCTCATTATGCATGAGAATTTCTTTCCATATTGAAAATCCTACTGTGTTAAGGAAGGGATGAGCCATATACTTCTCAGAAGCACCATCTTGGTTATCATGCACTAACAAAAAATGCTTCAGAATCTTTGGATCCATTGCACCATCATTAAGAAGAGAAGGTAACTGGTTGGTATTAAAGAGGTCAACAAATTTGTTGATGGGCTCTTTATCTTTGGAGGAAACAACCAAGAGACCTGCACATCAATTTGAACAAATGATAAAATTAAAATTTGTAGCACTTTTGGGGGAAAATAAAATTTGTAACACTTTTGGAAATATATATATGTGTGTGTGAAAAATAAATAAATAAGACTCTTGAAGAATAATCATAGCATAAGTAAAGTAGTTCAATACTGCCAAGTGTCATCTTATATAAAGAAAAAGGCAAGTTGGGGCAAGAAAAGAGAATGAGAAAGGTTCACAGTAAATGGAAGAGCTTACATGCCACAGGATGGTCAAAAGCTTCATGGTCTGAAAAAGCGACCATGCGTGCAAGCTCTTTGTTGAAAAATTCAAACCATGATGGCAGAATTTTAGCTTGACAGGCTGCAACCAAAAGAAAAATTAAATAATAACAAATTATCAGTGCAAAAATGCCATAGAGTTCAGTACATAATCCTAACCAAAAGTTCAACCTCATGGATGAAAATCAATACATATGGGGAAAAATCTAATAAAAGGAGACAGACAACAAGCCAGCGTCACTGTTTCAAAACACAATGTTGAGAGGAAGTAGATGCACTAAATGCATACTGAGGCAGTCAACAATAAAATATATGGCCAATTCATAGTGTCTGTTGAATCAACTAACTTCTATCATTTCACATGAGATTAAGGTCATATTACTTACTGGCAAGCACGCTTTCAATTTGAGGTGGGTCTGAAAACAAGTTGGAAAGATCTCTTTCCCCTGCATTAGTAATAACCTGTTTTAACTGCTCCTTTGCAACCTAGTTGAGCAAGAACAATTTTTAGAAAGAAAAACTTAGAATTCCAGTGGAAGGAAATCACTCCAGCCCCAAGAAAGGTGGGGTGGGGGGGAAGGTGTGATAGACAACATAATTTTAGAATCTTTTTTCTTTTAATTAGATTTGTACAAGTTAAACTTTTATATTTGACCAGTGCATGCGATATCTTCTTCTTTCGTTCTTTTTTTTTTTTTTTTTTTTTTTTTTGCTCCAAATTTGACAATCAAAGGAGGAGCTCATAGCAAGAATAATGAGATCTACCCTTTCTTTTTCTACCTTTTCTTAGTTTTCAAAGAATATACATGGGTCGTGCCCTCAGATGAAATCGTACAAGTAAAGAGAAAGTTATTCTGGGCCTGTAACGCCTGTTTACTGCAGTGCTCTTAAAATTATTTTCAACAACACAGAAGAAGTAAAACATTTTTCAGAGAAGCAAAATGATCACTAAATTCTAAAATGGGCTGCTTTTAACTTAACTCTTTTCTTACAAGATATTCAGAAAAAATATTCACCAAACAAAATTTTGGCCTGTTTTGAGTTATTCAATAACAGTTTCAATAAGAGAAAACAAACTGTTCTCAGAAATTTGAAAACATGTCTTTCACTTTCTTATATTTTCTAAACAACCAAGCGAAAAGCATTTAGTAATAATTACCTCTATATCTGGCTGCCGAATGTCAGCAGCATAAGATAACCGTAACTTGAATTTCTGGATCCTGTAAGGTTGATCACTTGCTGTCCGTACAGGTACTGTTTCAAAACACGGAAAAATCGACACATTAATTCGGTGAGACAACAAACAACCCAAATTTCAGTCAAAATTCTCCCAATAAAGAAATAAATTTATGTAATTACGTACACATATATTCACATTAGTAACCCCAATTCTAAAGAAAGATGAAGAAACAAATACATTTACACAACTATATATACATTGATTTTTACTTATCAAAAATAATAATATATATATATATACACACACACACACACAAATTGATTTAATTAATTACCCCAATTCTAAAGAAAGACAAAGAAACAAACACATTTATGAAATTATATACATATGTATTTACGTTGGTAACCCAAATTCTAAGGAAATATAAATAAACAAATACATTTATAGAACTATACATACATACATATATATATACATACATATATATATATATATATATATATATGCCCGGCTAATCCAAATTCTGGAAAAACAAAAAGTCAAGAAGCATATACATTTATAAAATTACATATGCATAGATTTACGCTAATAACCCCAGTTCTGGAAAAATAAAGAAACGTGTACGTATAGAAAGAGTGTGTATTACCGTCGATGTTGTTGAAGACACAGAAAGGGCTGAGCATTTCGACTAAACTGAGACCGTTCTTTTGGCAAGCCTCTTCGACGAGAGGTGTACGGAGAACCATAACCACCGGCATGATCTCGTCCAGTAACATTCTTCCGAGGGTGGAGTTCGCCGGATCCACCATCTTGTTCTCGGATTGCCCTAGCATGACGACCGTTCGATGAGTGATGAGGGCGACACTCGCTCGCCACTCACCGGGTCAACAAGGGTTGTGAGTAGATTCACTTCTTTGAGGCTATGCTCAGAAGTCAGATCTTGTGAAGAAGAAGTGACACAGGTCGTCCTCCCAATTCGCGAATAACATTACCAGATGAATCGCTTTTTGAAATTACTATAGTCCGACGACCCGTTATGTGATGGGGCTCAAGCCTTTCTGCCTTCCCATACCTAGCCCGCGAAACTATGGGCAACAAACAAATACAGTACTTAGTATATATTTTTGGCCCATGTCCCTTTTGTGTATATAATTATGTGTCAATCTATCTCAATATACAAATTAACTCGAACCAAATGGTAAATGATTTAGAGTTGACTTTAAATAATTTCGGATCATAAATGGGTTAATACAATTAATTCGTTTATTTAATCGTGTTGAATTAAGATTGAAGAGTTCACCTGTTAAACTCAACATGTTATAATCGTGAATATGACATATGTAATACGTTACTCAATTACTATGAATAGTTAAATGATTTCAACATAAACATTATATATCCTTTTTTTTTCTTATTTTGAATATTTGGGTTAATTGTGATAATTTATTTCTATTATTTATTATTTGATTATTTATTATTTGATTAAATATTAAATATCTCGTTTTGATAAACAGGTCATTAAACGGGTTAACACGTTTACCCGTTTAAAAAACGCACTAGGTTAGTATTGAGGGTTCTTGATACGATTATTAAATGGGTTGAATTTGGGTTTACCTATTTAGTAATACCACACGACACAATTATAACCCCCACCCTATCTATATCTATACTATTATTAAATATGTAAAGACTTTCACTATTTATTTATTAATATAAAAAAAATTATTAACTGATATAAAAAAAGTTTTTTTAAATAATTAGTTTTTTTAAATAATTTATATAAAATTCTAACACAAATTACCTATTTATATATATATATACAAATATATATATATACTATTATTAAAAGTGTAAAAAAAATTATTGTTTCAATATTTATTTATTAATGTAAAAAAAATTATTAATTGATATAAACTGAATTAAAATAAAAGAGTTTCTATAAATAAAATGAATTAAAATAAAGAATTTATATCAATAAAATGAAAGAATTTATATAAAGCTATTAAAACAACTAAAACAAGTTACCTATTAAAATAAAATAGGAAACTATTTAATAAAATAATTTACCAAATAATAAAATAAAAAAAAGTTTCTATAAAACTATTAAAACAACTAAAACAAGTTGAGTTTCTATAAATAAAATGAAAAAAAAATAATAGTTTTTATAAAAGTATTAAAACAACTAAAATAAGTTACCTATTAAAATAAAATAGGTAATTATTTAATAAAATAATTTATAAAATAATAAAATAATTTACCAATTAAAATTAAAAAGGTATTTGTTTAATTCAATTCAATCAAGGTGTTTTAAATCATTAAAAAAATTACAAAATAAAATAATTTACCAAATAATAAAATAATTTAAAATTCTTTAACATGATTCAAAATTCTTTGTTTTATTACAGATATATTATAATTTGAATTCCATTAATTGCATTGATTTATTTTTTTTTTTATTTTTTACGTTTGTTTAATTATGATTTATTATTTTAATTGCATTAATCATGTTGATTTATTTTTATTTTTTTGTGTTTGTTTAAATATGTCATGTCAGCATTTATGAACTAAACAAATAAATTTTGTAATATTATATATTTTATTCTCTATAAGTTTTTAAATATTATATATTTCATTATCTAATTATATACATATTGTACAAAGGGCTAATTGCAAAAAAAAAAAAAAAAAAAAAAAAAAAAAAAAAAAACCCTTTATTATTACTCAGTTGCAAAATACTCCTTTACGAATATTTTTGACAAAAAATCCCCCTCAACTATTCCAATTGGGTGTTTTTAACTGACGTTCGTTTTAGTGGTTGTCTGAGATAATTTTTTTTATTAAATTACCCCTTAACAGATTATTCATCAGAAAAATTATTTATTTTTTCTCTCTTCTCTCCCTGCGTCAAGGAAGCCTTTTCATTATTTCAAACACGAAACGAACAGGAGATCGAAAAACCCAATTATTGAAAATTTATCTTTCGACATTGCTTGGACAATATGATATAGCAGACAATAGTTGAGGCCCAAAGAATACTCATTTATATTCGCTTAATCTATGACTTATTTTTATTTATTTACTTTTATTATTTTTCCATGATTACAACCATGTAATTGAACAAATCATTTGCATGTAAAAAGTGTTATGTTACCTTTGGTTTATTACCATCTTAATAATAAGAATTATATATATATATATATATATATATATATATATATATATATATATATATATATAATTGTATTTTATATATTATTTTATCTCAAAATAAAATAAAATTGACTTTAATTTTGAATCTTCCAAACCAAAAAATGAAAGAAGAAAATATTTTTTATTACGGAATATTGACTAACTAGTAATATTTTTTTTATCACAGTGACTCCTTTTAGCTGAAAATTCATTTTTAATTGGTATTTAATTTTTCTTTGGTTGATTTTTACCGAATGGTGATGCGACTTTTTCTAATTTCTCCCTTATTGATATTTATGTTAATCTTGTTATTTACTCCGTGATCATTTAGTTTTAGTTGTTGTATTGAATATGTTGGACAACTGTTATTTTACTATTTGATCCGACATATGTGTCATTTGTGAAAGGTTGTGTCATTTATAAGAACGTTCGTGTCCTTCAATAATTGATGTGTTCTTTCGGATTAAACTTTTTAATAACAATAATGTAAATTTAAAATCTCTTTAATTATTTTTTATTAACTTATTTAAGCTAATGTTTAATTAATAAAATTGTATACAAATAGAAAATAATTTAATTAGAATTATTATTAATTTTTTGAGTGATAACTATTAATATAAATAATTTAAAAAGGTCACATAACCGTTAACATGATTTATATAGGGTATTAATCATCTTTCTGTCTAATTATTAAAATATTAGAAGTCTTTTGCATTAAGGATATGACTTTTAAAAAGTGTGTTTGTTGTTAAGATTGTAACTCATTAAGTAGTTTAGTTTTTTTTTTTTTTTTTAATAAGTTACTTAAAATAACCAATAATAAATAACTTAAAAAAATAAAACTTTGAAATGATAAAGAGAGTCTGTATATGATTATTGATACATGAGAAAAAAAAAAAAAAAATGCATAAAAATTTTTGGATCAGTATAGTGAAAAAAATACATAGAAATTTATAGTGACAAAAGTTCAATATCCAAAATATGATCATAGACATCATAAAAAGCCCATAGCATGAATTACAATGTCGTAGATATAATTACCAAATGCCAAAAGCTTCAAAAGAGAATAAACTTTTTTATTTAACCAAAAAGTTTTCCTTAGTTTGTATGGGTTGATGCCACTAGACCGTAGCTGACAAAGAAAACATTTAGAACACATTATAATAAAAAGTAAATGGATTATTAAATAAAACACACATATCTAAAAAGATAATAGTAGGTAAAATAGTGTTTATCAATAAGTATGTAGAATCTTAATATTGCCTAGTATAATTATCATATATCACCACCTTTATCAATAGTACTTATTATGTATAATTTGAATAATTTATTAATACGTATGTCTACCACATAAATGATGCAAGGAACACGTGCAACATGCCAATTGGGACAAATGAGTACCAAGTGTAACTTAGCTAAAAAAAGTTGGATGGAAATCATCATCATCATTATTATTATTACAAAAACATCGCAGCAATACTCCGAGTCATATTATGAGAGACTAAAGAATAAGAAAATTTCAAATTGAATAGCAAAGAAGGTTTCATACTTCTAAGAAAAATGGGAACCCCACCTCCCCTTACCATATTATATGAATTAAAAAATATAGTATAACATTATACATTACACAAATATATCTTGTTTTTTAAAAAAAGATCCTAAAATATACAACTTAATCCATTCAGTGTTTGACTATTTTATCAATATTTTAATTATAATTTTAGTTATTTTACATGTGTTTTTTATTATTCGGTAGGTCATTTATAAAATTGATTAATTATGAACACCCAAATAATGAGTTAGTGACCTTTTTCAATTGAAACACTTATTTTAATTGTGTTTTTATAATATCTGTCACTCTTAAAATAATGTAAATTGAACAATTACATTTTAAATTAAAACACTTGTTGTACGATACTTCAAAATTTAAAAAATTACAGATAATTAGAAACACTAAAATTATATCATAATCATAAATTGTTATCTATAAATAAAAAATCGCAACATTGACTCTATTTATTATTGGCAGTGTTGTCAACTTATTGCGAAGCAACGACAAAAATGTATATACATAGAAAGATAGAGATAGTTTTATCAAGAAACTCTTTCATGTAATAATTACAATAAATTGAATAAAAGTTATATGTAAATGAAACTCTAAGATATTTCAATAATAATGTGATATAGAAAAAAATATAAAAAATACAAAGAGACGTAAAAAGTTTTTAGAGGATAGAAGAATTGTAACCTAGATATATAATTTATTTAAGAAGTATAGTGCACTTATAATGTTGGGCTGAAAATGAGAAAAAAGATTTGTAGAGAAGAAGATAATATGAAATAATTTTTTTTTTTTTTTTTCTTGAGACCATATTACTCGTAGGTATATATAAGCGGTAGACAACCTTTCATAATAGACGTATCTTTTAAATATAAAAGTAAAAAGGCATCTTAACTGTTTATGCTTTTTAGAAAAAAAGAAACGTCGACTCTTTGGGAAAAAAGAAGAAATAAATAAAACAAAATTAGTATGTAAAAAAGAAAGACATCTTAACTATTGATGCCTTTTAGAAAAAGGAAACGTTGACTCTTTGGGGAAAAAAAGAAGAAAGAAAGAAAACAAAAACAGTGTGTAAAAAGGAAACGTCGACTCTTTGGAAAAAAAGAAAAAAGAAAGAAAGAAAACAAAAACAGTGTGTAAAAAGGAAACGTGGTGTATAATATTTTTGTAAATTAAAAAAATTATTTTAAAATGTATATAAAAATATCAAAATTGAATACACTTTTATAGGGTATATAGATAATAAGAATGAGTAAACTTTCTAAAAATTACCCCATATATTTTATCCACATGGTATGTAATTTTCGAGTATAAAGTTACTT